AAAAACTAGCAAAAAAATAGCCAGTACACAAAAGCGTATAAAACAAAATAATTATCATGTGTAAGTCTACATGTAGAAGAAGCCTTGGTATTGACAATGGAATAGGTGCAATAAAAAACGGGTTTATAAATATTAATTTACTTATTCTGCGCCTTCTAACGATTCTACAACTAATGAGAACAAAAATATTTATTATACTATTTCTATTTAAAACATCGAAATAAAAAAAAAATACATACATCTGTGTAGAAATTAAGATTCAAAATTAACTTAAGCTTAATTTAGTTCAAAAAATATAAAGAAAAAAATGACATTTTCACCAAAAAATTCATTGCAACACAATACAATGAAATGTTCTTTAACAAAAAATATTAAGCTTCGAATTTCGATACGCGTAACGTCCGACTCCTTTACTGTTATATTCTAAGAAATAAATATAAAATGTACTTAAATAAAATTTTAACATAAATGTGTATATATGAATATTAATTTATATAAAAGATTTTTTATTCTTAAAATAAATTTTTGTACAATAATAATGGGAGCTCTTTTACTGCGACTTCGTCAGAGATGGCGCCACAAGATTATAACGTACGAAACGTATACGAGATCTTGTTTTATCGGACTACTTTTATAAATGCGAATTTTGTATGTATGTATGTGTTTGTTACACCTTCAAGCTTAAAAGGACTGTACCGATTTAGGTGAAGTTTTTGATTTCAATTCAGTTGAAAACCTGGAATAACACATAGCTGCTACTGTAAACTGCCTCTGAACGTAATGTCAATTTGACTTAAGTCCTCTAAAGATAATGAATACAGACAGACAGAGTAGTAGACAGAATAGTTTTACTAGTTTTTTACATCGAAGTTTTATTTTTATATATAATTTAAAAACTTTTAAAGCTAAAAATGTTAGCCAGTAATAATAATTCTTTGTTTTCAACGTCATATACTAGTGGCGTCATCTGAGCTGCGTTTGTGTAAAACCTGCCATAATGGAATGTTAACTAAAAGGCGAACTAACAAAATTATCTACTTATCACGTAAAAGAAATATAATAAATTAAACAAATGATACTCACTACACTACACTTCTTCGCTTTGGTGGTATATTTTAATACAAAAAAATATTACATGATAACCGTCCCATATTATTAAAGAAATGAGAAAACCACTACACTTCTCAAGTGATTTATATATCACATTGTTAATGTCCTGGAAAATAATTATTATTTTCTTTCTGAAATATGTACTTTGAGTCCTCATATGTAAAAGAATGTAATTCTTCCATACTAGACACTTTGGAATTCGATCGCGTTTACAAATATCATTAAAATTCGAATAATAAACAATTATCATGTTACTTCTTCAAAATGTCCCAATAATAATAATTTCAATATATTCTTTATTTATAGAGATTTCATGGCAATATACAGTAGTTAAATTATGAAATACCTACATTTCATTTATTATAGCCAAATAATTCTTTAATTCAATTATAATAAAATTTAATTTCTTAGAATGTGTTTAAGACAGAGCCATGTCAAAGACATAAAATTAAAAAAAAATTGTAATTACCCATAGGAACACAGCAGTAGAACCGACAATTACTTTCTGAAGTTATTACTTCCACCATAATTGTTTGAGCTTTGAACAGATTATTAGAATAATATCGTTTTTAAAAAAGGGCAAAACTTTTCAAATTTAATGGTTCTTATATCATATTTTTGTTTATTTACTTAGAGCCATAATAGAATGAAAATGTATAAAAGCACGAATAAATATTTATTATCTAGTTTACTCAAATAATTCTTTGAAAAACTTCGGTATATTTCTATGAAAAATGTTATTACTAAGTTACATTTTTCAAATCCGTAAAAAATAATTTTAAATCAAAAGCCACAAATGATTAGTAATTTAAATGCCATAATACGTTATCATTGATCATATTATATTATCTGTAATAATAACATTTCCCGCGCGTGCGCCAGATTCGACATTTTAATTAATATAATAAAAACAAATCTGTAAATCGTTAAAGTAATTATTTTAATTTTTATCCCGAAAAAATTAAAACACTATACACATAAAATATTTTAATTTTATAATGTTTGAATGAATTATTTTATTGGCAGAAAAACTGTTACAATTTTAAATGTATTTGTTTTTTTTATAAATCAAAATAATACTAAAACTAAATGTTTATGTTACAATTCATTTTATTTCCAAACTCACAATAACAATTTTTAATATTAGAGTTTTGCTATTCTTATCAATATTTAGATACAAGTTAAGCTCAATCTAATTTTGCTTAGTATACATCTGGCTAGTTCAAGTGGCCATATCACATGTGTTACATAATAGTGTCAAGGGGTATTTCTTATGAAGGGTACAGGCAAATAACAGGAAATGTCACAATTTTAGTTTTTTTTTGTTTTGTATTGGTAACAAATCTATGTCTATGGTAGTCGCATACCCAACCACGGTTTTTATAAATACTTAACGGATATTGCTAAGAAACGTATTCTCTATGCCCAAAGCGAAAAGAACTGGGAAATGGGAATGTCCATGACATATCGGCAAAGGAGGATTGTCCAAAAATATACATAGTTAAAAGTTACTGCATTCTTTGATCTCAATAAAAATATTATGACTTCTAAACTTTAAATTGCTTTTTTCTCATAATCTCTTCATTAGGGCACCTATTCTTTGCCTGTACCCTTCATATAGGCTTTCACCTGAAAAAGTTTAGAAGTTATAAATAGTAATTAATCCAAGCTATATATAGTTGTATATGAAGGGAACAAGTATACCGAAAATTATTTCTATAAGTGCTTTTATCAGATACTTTTACTCTCCAAACTACTTGTTTGGTTATTCCACTTTTTGTATACAATAAAAAATTCCATCAATATCTGTTATTTTGGTATACATTTTATTAATTATTTATTTTAAGTGGCAACTCACTAATTACATTATTTACTTATTGTACTTAAAAAAATATATTGAAAATAACCGGGAGCAAATTTTTGGGGGCCATCCACCTGTTTAAAAAATATATTTCGGCAGGAAAAAGAAATCTTAAGACTATAACATAAAAATAATAATCACTTGTATTGACAACATAGAGCTTAATTTTTTGCATATCAAAGTATGAAATTTTGTACACGAGTTTCATATAGGGTCATTGATAACACATTATGGAAGGCTAACACAGATTGCCGTCAATCGAAAGAAGCCTTCCCCACACTAAACAAACAATTAACAATGAAACTAACACGCCTAGATAGACCCAAACTAAAAACGGTGGTGGAACTGATAACAGGACACTGCCAACTCAATAAACATCTTTTTAACATAGGTCACACGGACAGCGCCCTCTGCAGAGCGTGCCTCCAAGAAGATGAAACACCAGCACACATTCGAACTGAATGTAGTGCACTGGAACAATTACGCGAAGAAAAACTCGGCTCCTATAGATTGATCCCAGAAATCTTCCAGGACACCGGCAGCCTGCTAGACTACTGGGACGCTCTGGGATGGAAAGAATAACACACACAGCAGCACAAGCTCACGCACAACGGGCAAGGATGCCTAAGTGCGGAAAAAGCCGTGTCAGAAAAAGAAGAAGAAGATAGGGTCATTGAGTCCTTCATGTGCTTTTTTAAAAAAAAAATCTTGCCCCAGAAAGGTTGAAAGTGTGTACAAGTTATAAAGCATATGACCAGCATATACAATCATTAGCGAATTTCTAATTCATTTACAGTAACAATGTTTATCCATTTAGTTTTTTATTATATTATATACAAAATTATATTAAGCTATGTTTTTTCGTGTATTTAGTTCGTCACCACATTTTTTTTCATGTCTCCATAAAAAAGTTTACAATTTGTTATTAAAATACAGTTTAGGATGTCAACTAATATCTCAAAGTGTTGCCGGGCAGAATTTAAAAATAACACATAAATAAAAATCCTAAGTAATAAATATAATTGAATTGCAAGACAAACAATAGACAGGCCATCTGCAAAACACCATCGTTTCTCTGTCACATACATGCACATAGACATAAGTAGGACAGTATACGTACATACACATCTAATATAAAATATTACTTGTAATTGCTATGGCGGTGTAGGCTTTATAGTCTACAGACCACCACAGTGGACTATAGACATTAATTTAATTCAAAAATACTATACGGGTGATGTTTATACTTATAAATACATACATATATAATTATGAATATAAGTAAAATTCAAATGTTTTAGTGTGAAAAATATAGTTTGGTTCATTTTATTTACAGTCTTTGTGTACTCTGAGAAGGCAGTGTGGTTTCAAAGAAAATTTTCTTTTTAATATATATATATTCTTTTTAATATATATATATATAGTTATTACTGTCCATAATCTATACGTTTTTACATGTAATGTCAAAAATGTCGTTTCTGAATATTTACAGGAATTTTTAGCACTATATTATTTATTGAAATAGTAGCAGTCTCATCTCTCGAGACACATACAGTGAGTCTAAATACGTTGCCATCAATCAAATAATTATATGGAAGAATTTACTCTATTTTCCTTTACATTACATTATTCTTACTATGTATTAAAATACAGACTATTACTTTATCATTTGGAAAAACAAAAATGCCATTGTATTCTTTCCAATAAAGTGTTTTGTTTAAATATAATATGCATTAAAGAATTTTTAATCTCATAAGAACCTGAATCAAAAGCCGCAGTAAACTAGAAACATTTATTAAAAAATGTAAACAATTGAAGCTATTACCATATAATAAATTACAAACCATAGCAGACAGGAATGACAATTAATCATCTTTGTACACTATCACTACACTATAAATTCTTTGTTTCTTAGCACTGTTTATTTCACTATAGTGACTGCACTAATCACTATTATAATTTTATAGCACTATAAGTTTTTAAAAAGTCATTAGTCAATAACAATGACATTCTCGTTGGGCAAGCGTCATTTGTTGGGTGAAGTGAGACCGAGAGCAGCGGACAGGAGGCGCACTACATTCTTTTGTTCCGTTGGTTCATTTTCTGTAAAAAATAAAGTTGTTTTAGTATAAATATTTTTTTTTTAACTGAATATGATTTAAAACAAAGTGCCAAGGAGGTGAATATGTTTATAGATCACCAACACTATATTAATATATTCATATAACACCAACTGTGTATAAAATTATAAATTATATTTACATATGATTAAAACAGTGTAACCTTCGATCTCTATGTCAAGAAAGGATGAAAAAATGACGTTTTATTATTTTTTTTTTAAATTCAGAGTCGAGCATTTAGTATCTAAACAGTGTAGAATTTTCCTGATTCGTTTATATACTATATATTTAGTTTAGTTACCATGCTATGCATAGGATTCGAGTATCACATAAAGTATGTCTCATTTGTTTTTTTATTTCTGTAATCCTACATATTTCGAACAGAAATTTAAAAAAATATTGTAGAAATCATACATCATTAAATGTACATACAAAACACATGAAAAGTATACTATTTGAATATTTTTAAAGACACAAACATTTATTTTATTGATTATTTCAATTTCAGGTGAGGGCAAATATATGTATATAAATCTTTGGTAAGAAAAAAAAACACAAACCATCAGCTCCGGTCACATGTTTCTCGAGATTCAACTTCTCTTGCGCGACCTGATATATGGCCTCCTCAATGGTGCCCGCACTCAACAGTCTGTAGATCGTCACGGGGCGGGTCTGACCCATTCTGTGACATCTGGAAAAAAAACAACAATTATACAATAAAAAATATAAACATCCTCCTGAATGATTTCGGCCACGGCGGCCAATCTCACTGAGACTAGCCTGAAACTGAACTGCACAGAAGATACTATAAGTGCAGCGCGTGTACGCACAGAAACAAGCGCAGGAGCGACGCGACACGTGCTCTCCGAGGCACGGGAGTGCAACACCGCCAACTTTCCAACTCTGGGCTGTTAATGAGAATATCTTAACATAAAAACTCAGTAATTAAACTTGGCCCAACCTGGGACTCGAACCTTGGACCACCTGATTTGCAGCTATACATGCTAGCTACTAGACCAAAGAAATGTTTATATAAAATAATATTATTTCAAATATGTATTCTTATTTCTTACCTGTCCTCGGCTTGTTTATCATTGTATGGGTTGAAGTCGATATCATGAATAATGACAGTGTCTGCTGCAGTCAGATTAATACCCAAGCCTCCCGCTTTGGTGGACAGTAGGAACACGAAGATATCCTCTGAATTGTATTGGTTTATTAAATCTTGCCTGGAATGTAGTATATATTTTATGATTAATTTTAATAACATTAATATATTATCATAAAATGATATCTCATAAATTTATATAAAATCTATTTGATAATAAAAAGTTTTTTTTTAATTTAATTAATAAAAAGAAATATAATATATAATAAAAAATATATAATAAAATAAAAAAAATATTATTATTATTCAAACAAATCATGGTCACTTTAAATCTAATTATTCTAACAGTACATGCTCTACTCTATAAAGCCACCATTTTTAGTCCCACTATTTATCTATTTAATTAATAATGAATATGTTATAAAAATATGGACATTGTGGACTTAATTTTACAAATAGAATATTTTAATGATTCAGCTAAAGGGCATATGAGGGGTAATATAAATATCCTAATGAATAGGTTATGAGAAAAAAACAATTCAAAGTTTCGAAGTTATAATATTTCTATTGAGAACCAAGTATGCAGTAACTTTTTACTATATAAATTTTTGGACAACCCTCATTCTTTACTGGTATGTCATGGACATTCCCAGTCCTTTTCACTTTGGGCATAGATAAAAACGTAATTTTAGCGACATCCATTGAGTATTTGTAAAACCCATGGTTCGGAATGCAATTACCATAGACCAATTTATTACCACTAATAAAAAAAAAAGAATGTGGCATTCCAACTGCCAACTTAACTACATATATTTATTATTTCTGAGCATAATCAATCTATAAGAGATAATAAATATACTATGAACAAACTCACCTCTCATTAACCGCAGTGCTACCATCCAAGCGTAAGTAGCGGTAATCCCTTAGTCTGAGGTAGGGCTCCAGGATATCCAGCATCATGGTGAACTGGCTGAAGATCAGCACCCGGTGACCTTCGGCTTGGAGTTTGGGTAACATTTCATCTAGTTTGAGGAACTTGCCAGAATCTTCTATGAGACGGTCGGGCACGGCAAAAGAACTTATGCACTGGGGAGGGAAATATATAAGAGATTATAAAAATCATTAGTTTTTTTATATACGCAGTTATTCTTATAAATTAATATAGGAATAATTGTGTCAGTGTTCTAGTGTGGTCATGGGTCGGGATTGGAACCCACGACTGGTAGACCAAACTGTATGGTCTAGTCTCATCCAGCGACCACAATAGACAAGAAATGGTCGCAGTAATATTATATAACTGCAATGAAATAAAAAAAAATGATCTGGTCAGGTTTAATTATTGAGATGTTCTGTAAGAAATTATCAGTAGCAGCCTGGAGTTGGGAAGTTGGCAGTGTTGCGTCACTCCTGCGCCTTAACTCTCACAGCGAGTGTTGAAATATTGTACAGAAAAAGAATAGAAAGTGCACTTGTGTCTGCACGTACACTTGCCCACTATAATATCTTCTGCGTAGTTCAGTTAGTCTCAGTGAGATTGGCCGCCGTGACCGAAACCGTTCAGGAAGACACCATCATCATTATCATATTAAGAAATAAGTCTGAGTACAATGGTTGTGACATACAAACAGACGAACAACAAATTATAAACATTATTAATACATTTTAACATGCCCTAATAAAAAACTACACACCATAAATTACCTCCTATATCAACTCCAAATCACAACTCACCTCATACTGCTGTGTGAGCTGATGTATCTGGAAGTCGGACATGCACATGAGGTCTTCGTACAGATACTGCTCGTTCTTCTCCTTATAGCCGGGATCGCGAGCGAGGCGAGCGGCCATTTTGCGCGCGGCCGCCATGTCGTAGTGGTAGCGCAGCAGCAGCGGGTGGTTGGCCAACTTGCGCATGTCCATCATCATTGATATGCCACTTTGCTCTGTTGTTGCGTGGATCTGGAGTTTTGGAATAGTACTTTTATTATTTACGCAAATATTTAACATTTTAAATAGAGGCCGAGCCTCTACCGTGACTATGCTGATGCTGTATATATTGCTGTAAAACATTCGAAACTTCGGGAACCAAAAATCAAAATGAATCCGCGAAAAAATCCAAAAGTATAGTTTTATTTAAAATTTATTTTGTATTATAACGTGTTTTCCCGTGAGAATGAAATTTCCCGCGGTAAAAAGTAGCCCACGTCATTCTCCAGCCCTCCCAACTATCTCCACACAAAACATCTCGGCAACTAAGCAGGCTAAGAAGGACAAACAAACAAACAAACACACTTCAAATTTATAATATTAGTATGGATAATATTATAACTAAAAAGCAGTCATAGCTTAAAGTCAATGCACTCTCCCTCACCCGTTTTTTGCACAAACAAAATTATGAGAATATTTGCATGTCTAACAAAAATCAACTGATTTCCGAAAGGCATATGAAGTTTCATCCAACATACTCGAGTCCAGCATTGTGACATTAGAATAATTATTACACTTTATTATTATAAAACAACTCACAGTGCCATCCTTAGCGGAGAACCCGGCAATGAGCTCCTTGTACTGCCTCTGCTGTTTCTCTGACATGGGACATAATTCTGTATGGTTGGTCTTCTTCGGCAAGTCTTGAAGCACATCCCTTTTGAGCCTCCGAAGGACGAATGGCTTCATTATACGCTTGGCTTGAGTTATTTGACTTTGTTCAAATGCAGGAACATCGTCCTCAGTGTTACCATTTGTTTTTTTATTTGTTTTTGCTTTCTATAAAAGAATGTAATAATTGATTAATTTCATATTATTAATGTTATAAGTGTATATCCAAAGAAAAGTGTTTAAAATATAACTTGTATATGAAACTCATGAATTAAATATTATAGTTAATTTGATCTCGTCATGAAGATATTTTTTTGACATGAGATCGTGAAACTTACTTTACTTAACTAATCACATACAAATATATGGTAACAGACTTCGAAATGGAAGGAAACTCTAAATTCATGTATATAACCTTTGTGTTACAAAATATCTACTAATAGTATAAACTATCAGCTCACGCTCGCTTCACTCTGTTCGCCTCTAGAAAAACAAAAACAAATCTATCCCACGGGAACCGTACATTTTTTCCGGGATAAAAAGTAACCTATATTTTGTTATTCTGATGTAGGAGCTATATTATTCTAGTTTCATTAAAATCCATTCAGTAGTTTTCGCGTGAAAGAGTAATAAACATCCAGACATCCTCACATACTTTCGCATTTATAATATTAGTAGGATGTGAAAGTTTGTGATGAATGTTCATTACTCTTTCACGCCGGAATGGCTAAACGGATTTAAATGAAATTTGGCACAGAGATAGATTATAGTCTAGAATAGCATATAGGTTACTTTTTATCCCGAAAAAATGTACGGTTCCCGTGGGATAATTTGTTTTGCCTGCATACTTTTTCTATTACAATTTTTAAGTAATTATAATTTTAATTCATAACTTATTTAAATAAAAACCAACCGAATTCTTCTGGAACAAGTTCTTCAAATCCTCTGTCTTGCCGGAGAACATGTGCGGCATCACGAAGCACAGCAACGACATCAGTTCTATCAAGTTGTTCTGTAGCGGCGTGCCCGTTAATAGGAGGCGGTGCTTGGACTAAGGACGACGTTAAAACACTATGATTCATTTACAACTAAAAAAAATGGTCAAGTTCGAGTCGGACTCGCACACACACGGTTCTGTACCATCGTACAAGACATAATACTACATGTCCTTTTTAAAAACTTTTTTATAATTTTTGTTACAGCGACAATAGAAATACACACTGAAAATTTCAACTCTCTACCTATGTTCGGTTCATGAGACACATGGACAGACTGTAGAGGTTTAGTAATAGGGTTCTGTTAGGACTCTTCGATTACCCTAAAAATTTAATAAATAAAACGTTTTTGGGCCACGAGAAAATCCGAAAACAATGCGATTTGAAATCTAAGAAAGTATTATGGAAAACTTCAAATTGTCGTATCAATTGGTATATTTATAAGTATGAGAAATCCTAATGGTAATATTATATTACAATCAGAATTTCTTATGTTTATAACAATTGAATCATCAAGCTGATGCACTTGTTCAGATCATTGACTTAATTTTAAAACTTGTTGACAGTAAGTGAGAAACTACAATCTGCTCTAAGTACTTATATTCTGTTATGAAAAGTAACCAAACACCGTCTTTGTAATATTATATGCTACATGATACCCATACTGCAGAATACTAAGTTTGCATTAATTTATGTCTACACTAGTATATCCAATATGTTAGGTACACATTTACATTATTGAATGTATAATCCTGTTACTTCCTAATATCCCAAAACCAGGGGATAGTTCCCAAAAAAACTTCTATGGCCATGTACAGCAATGGGTCGAGCTCCGCATGCTCTCTATCAAATCCCAACATAAATGATATAGTCTCAAGATAAGTGAGATATGAATCTCACATATCACCTGTAGATACACAGGTGGTTACACCTGTATACCTACAAGCGATTACACCTGTACATCTACAGATAATATGCGTAAATGCATTTCCCGACATTAAAAAAAATTATTGCCGCACAAATGCAACGTAAGAACCTATGCGGGACTAACATCGAACCAGGTAGTCCATACCCCTTTTCATTCCTTAAACAACACATTACATGTATACTATGCAACTATAATCAAATATACCTTAATTTTAAGCAAATTATCATATCTCTGGGTGGACATATTCTTGAGCATGTGAGCTTCATCGTATATGACGTAGTGCATGGGCGTGATGCGGAACATCTTGCGCTCCTCCGGGCAACTGCTCACCATTGTGTATCTAAAAACATAAACATAATGAATCTTGAATATTATTCCTAGTTGAGACCTTTACTTTACGTATCCATAGTACGTAAGACACACTCTATGAGTGTTTTTTATATCTTTGTTGCGGCTTAAGGTTATCACTGCGACCATTTTTGGTTATGTCCTTGTTGTCCTTATGATCGCCACATGTAAGTACACGAGTGTAGCCATAGGCTAAAACTTGTTTATCTATGTGAATTTTTCAAACACTGCTTTCACAAAAAAATATAAAAAGAACCTTCCGTTAAATTCATCCTGTACAAAAAAAACGTTTTTAATATTTACAGAGTAACATAATTAACCTAATTAGCTCAAGATTGAATGAAATCAACTTGAGATAATAGTACATATACATTATAAATACTCAAATCTTACTTTATTGCATAACTAGCGATTCACCCTCGCTTCGCTCGGGTTCTACCCTAGCTTGATTCCCCATACAAACTTTCATCCGCATTTTCACCACCTTAGGATGATTTCCGGGATAAAAAGTATCCTATCCTCTTCAGGTAAATTATTAAATTATCCTATCCTTCCCAGGGTCTCAAACTATCTTGTTACCAAATATCATCTAAATCGGTTCAGTAGACCCAGAGATTAACCCCTACAACGTCACAAGCTCACAAACTTTACCTCTTTATAATATAAGTATAGACTAACAAGTAACATATACCATTATCACATGTAACAAACAAACACTCACGTAGTAAGAACAATATCGATCTTGTCGAGCCCACGAGAGTACTCTATCCTGAGCTGCCGCCTCTCCTCCGGGTTGCCGTAGTACTTGCTGACGCGCAGCGCCGGACACCAACGCTCTAGCTCGCCACTCCAATTGTCTGGAAACATTGAAAATACATAGCAAATGTAAAACCTTTTCAAGCTTAGTCTATAAGGAGATTATATCTATACTTATTATAAAAATAAGTCCCCCGGCCGCGTCTTTCTGTCCTCCTGTCTGTCCTCCTGTCTGTCTGTACGCGATAAACTCGAAAACTACTGAACGGATTTTTATACGGTTTTCAACAATAGAAAGAGTAATTCTTGAGGAAGGTTTAGGTATATAATTTATTATGCTTTTATGTAAATTAGCTGAAATACGGCGACAAATGTTGAAGAGGTCGCAAAAAATCTCGCCAAATGGGAACTTTCCACGCGAACGCCGCGTAAACTAGCAAAGATACAGTTAAGTAATGTACTAGAGAATTCAAAATCTATAAAAATGCTACAAAAAAGTCCGCGATAGCATATCTCTATCTCTTACGGTTGACTTACAATAACCACTTTTATGTTAACATTTTTAATTAAAAACATTACGTTATTTTCAAAGTTATTTTCTTTAGTTCAGTATTAATCCTTATCCAAATGAATATTTTAGTTAGCTTAGTCATTTAATGCAGATTAAAATTGCTCTTTACACTAAATCAATCAGATGAATAGTTTTTGAGATATCGTTGTTAGAAGTAATTAGTAGCGAAACATTTTTAATGCTTGGCGAGCATTGAGATGCCTACGGCGAGTCCATCCCCTCTGCCCCGCATCGCTCGACCGCCTGCTCAAGCTATATAAACCGGGCGATGTAGCGCGCGATCCTAGGTTACCGCGGGAAAATATCTTATTTCTGAGGAAAAATACAAAAACTGCAATGTAAGAGTATACTAATATGTAACACCTAAGAATTTAGTTTTTGGTCATCTGAACGCGGGCGGAGCCGCGGGCAATGCTAGTATAAAATATGATATAAAGGACTGTGTTCATATTTTAACAAAAAAAACAAATTTATTTTCTCAACTGAGTATAAAATTGTAATTAGTAAATCTCACTGCAACATATCATTACAACCCACACATACTATTACAACAATATAAATACACTATATACACATATTATTCAATACAAACCTAAAGTAGACGCTGGTACAACAACCAAATGTGTGCCCCTCGCTTGACCGGTCTCCTTCAAGTGAGCGAGGAAGGCTATCACCTGGACAGTTTTGCCGAGACCCATCTCATCTGCCAGGATGCCGGAGACACCCTGCTTGTGCAGCACTGCTAACCAGTTGAGCCCTACCAACTGGTATGGTGCGAGTTTCAAGCTGGAATATTTGTTGAGAATTAAATTTTTAAATTTTACCATATAAAAAAAATTTATACAATTAAGTTTTTTTTTTGTATAACTGCGATATCAATAGATAATATGGCAAAATCATACAAGGTAAAAGAATTTTCTTTATGTTTATAATATATATTTCATTAATTGTGTAATAAACAAAGAGAACAGGTTCCTTATATATTCATATTACAAATATACAAACATTAAATTTTTTCATACGTTTTAGTATACGAAATTTGTTATATTTGAAGAAAAATAAAATATTTATAATGGTTACCACCACCCTATAGCCCATTTACAATATTCATTTATCGATCGACAAAAAATTAAATTATGAAATATAATTAGTCATAAATAATTATATTTTGCATAAAAAGGTATTTTTGCGGCCCAACAAACTGTTAAAAACTTTTCAAAATCATTATCGTTAAAAGTACCTTGGAAGCTCCACTGTCTACAATTTTTTTAGTTTACACTTACTAAATTTTACCTCTAATAATCCCGAAGTAAAATAACTGACATACGGACATAGAGAAATTATAAGGGTTCTATTCCCCAAAAAGAGTTTCATAAATCAACAGGTGATTACAATTGAATCCACCCAAATATGACCACATAATTTGGACACAAATCGAATTTGGATGGACTGTTACACAGTAGGTCTCATCACGAAAAAAGAAACATTAGTTTAAATAAATATCAATAGATGATGTTACATGTATCGATTTTTTATTAAAGTTGGGCTAAATTAACTTAAAATAATAAATAGATCCTAAAAAGGTGTATAATTATTTTAAAAAATATTCTAAGTGAAACGAAATAATGCACCTGTAAATCAATCGTTAGTGTTGTTGTGTAGTTGTGTAGTTTTACTGATTATTGAAATATCAGCAATTAGGTGATGGATGGGTTTGTAGTGTACATTCACAGATGACGCTTTCACTTTTTATTTGTTTAACACGATTAAAAATTCTTAAAACCACTAAAAAAAATTATTTGAATGCAGGATAAATTTTAAATTTGCCATAAATATTAGACATTTGTTGGTTTGCACATACATATTTATGAAATAAAACAGTTTAACTATTTGCGAATCAACGACATCTATTATCTATTCAAGCAAACTAAAATAGCCCGAATTAGTGCTGTCCTATTTCTTTGTATGGGATGAGGCATCTGTACTAGTATAGTATTATGTGATCAGTGCTATTACTAAGTGGACTACCACACAGTAATACACAGTAGGTTACCTCTCATCCAGTATGGCGGGCTGCTTAAGCCTGCCCGCGCCGGCCGCTACCGCCGCCTCCAACTGCTGCGCGAGCCCCACACACTTCTTCATCAGCCGCTGGATGTTGTTCCTCGTGCAGAGCAGCTCTTGGGTCGCGTTCAGGAGATCCGTGCTTAACATTTTGTTGTTGTTGAACTTTTCCACCTGAAACGAGTGTAGGGTGAAATTTTAATTGAGTTAATAATGGAGCAAATAGGTATAAATTTATTTCAATCATTCATTCACATTCATTCTTTTAACTTTATTAACTTTCAATTTTTTGCATTAGAAAATGCAAAAAATTGAAAGTTAATAAAGTTAATATTTAATAAGACATCTACAATATTTTGAAAAAGTTGTAGAATCTTCTTTAAATAATATTTGTAGATGCCTATTTATTGCTGTTTTAAGATAATTTATATACCTGAGTGACCTTCGGTGAATTTTAGCCCATTGTAAGTTATTTCATTGAGAACTGGGGACGGACCTAGGAGGGTCTGGGCCTTACTACATACCTGCTATTTCGCATTTTCTAATAATATTTCCTATAGTAATGTATTTTTTTTTTTACACCATCAGAAAGTAGATATTTCAACGAACAAAAAGCCCCCAAACTTTTTGAAAAAAGCTGAAATTTTGACGTCAGAATTTTCGATTGAAAATTAGGGTGCTTTTTTGATATTAAGTTAAAATAAGGCGAAAAAATAAATATTTTTAATCAAATAAATTACAGTATATTTGGGACATAATAAGGTAAGTTTTCACCAAATTTCGTAGAAAAAATTTAAAAAAAAAAAAGATATAAATAAAAAACCAAAAACTTGGTATTTTGAATTTTTCACCTAAATTTTGAGGTTATGTGAAAAAATTGCAGATACAAAAGTTGTAGATCTTTTTATGACCTACAACTTTGCCATTTAACTTTTTTCCCTAGGACTGGTACTTTCGCCGGAAATCAAGATAAACAGTTTTTCACCCTTAAAAACTCACCCCCTCCCACTTCCCGAACTCGGATCGACCGTAATTTATTTTTCCTTTCATTTTGATCATATTCCCCTGATTTTCTAATGGGTTTCATCCTACTGTAATTTTTTTTGGTTTCAAAAATTATCGACCCTGGTCTATAAGAGGAATGTCTCAATATGGTACAGTTAATTTTTTATAATTCTCGAAAAATAAAAACAGTAATGAATTCAAAAAAGTCATTTAAAATATGGCTTAAACTTAATTTGAAATGTTTACTTATAAAAAAAGTGTATCTTTAAATATCACAAAAGTAATTAGAAACAATCTTACCATATCTAACCATCCTTTAAAAGGTCTTTGGGCAATTATTGCTTCGGCCTTCTTCTGAGAGCACCCACTGAGGAGTGAGAGCTCATTCATGCTGCTAGTGTTTAAGAACTCAAATACTTTCCGCTTATCACCTCCTAGATCATCAGTAATTTCATTATCTGAGTCATCACTGGAAAAAATATTATTTTGATAACATTATTTATAGTAAAGTCTCCTTTTTATTCTAATAGTATCAAATCACTTTTAGATTTTTAAGAATTTTTAATTTTATACTAAATATGTAACAAACATAGACCCAATAAAGTTTTCATTTCTTGAAGCTTTATTTGTTTAAGGTAGTAAAATATATGTACATATTAATCAAAGAGATAATATCAAAGTTACATGTACAGACTTGACCAAATTCTAGGGGAGACTCAAGTCAAAATTTTTAAGTAGGAAAAATATGATGCGCGAAAATTACAATGCAAAGTGTAGTTCATGGAAAATCAATTCATGACCAAACACATATGTAGTAAATTACTGCATAATTATTTGGTATTGTGTTCGTATCAGATTAAATCTGACACGATGACAATACCACACTATACCAGGATCATCGATCATCGACATCAGCCACTGATAATTTTGCGGATTTTGTTTCTACACAAAAGTGTAGAATAAAACAATTCACAGCCAAAAAACCTAGCGAAATGGGAACTCACCTATCATAAACCTTATCATCCTTGCCCTTCCGAACACCATAATCATCATCTTCACTGCCACTACTACCACGTCTTGCCCGACCACCTTTAGAGGCTATAGGCTTTCTGACGACCACACTAGGTCCACTAGTCACTCTTACAATGCCCATACCATTAGATCTTGGCATTTGACCAGAAAACCCTGGTCGAGAGGCAAAGAAGGACGGAGAGGCTTTCTCGTCACTTTCTGGGTCGTGTTTGAGCAGTTCATCACGCGATCTCTCTTCATTCCATCCATGCTTCACTAGGGTATTTTTTATAAACTGTAACAATAAGTTTTAAATTTACAAATAAAGTATATGAAGAATTTGTACAAAACAGCCTATCTAAATCAGATTAACTAACTCTAGAGGAGATATAAAAGCAAAGCACAAATACACTGTGTATTCCTTTCAGTATTAAAGTCTGGTGGGACAACAATTTGATACAACTTCTAAGAGATAAAGTGCAGGACCTTTACAAGGTCTCTGAAGTATGATTATTTTGTTTTCAAAGTAAAAAAATTAAATCACATTTATAATAATATAAGATCTGTATGTATCTTTATGACATACAATAAGGTAAATAATTGAATTTTTACACAAAACTACAGTAAGCCTAATATTGTACTACTAGCAACTTACCCTCGCTACTCTCGGGTGCGTCACTAGGTACGCCTTAATTATTGAGCAGAACCCTAATCATAACTCCTCCTTATAACATCAGCTATCCGCCAATGAAAGTCCTGTCAAAATCAGTCCAGCAGTATGTAAATCTCCGAGATTAGCCAGAACAAACAGACAGACAAAAATTTTAAAAATTGTGTTTTTCTTACAAGTACTGTATATAATTTCATATGCTTCTAGTAAAACGCTATTATTTTGACATTACAAACAGACACTTCAGTTTTATTTATTTGTATAGGTAAATAATAATGTATGATATATGTAGATGTATGTATAAATAAAGACGGAATTTAATGGTTCAATGTGGATGGAAATATTATAACATTGAAGTCCATGAACATCATATAGCTCTTTGTAATGCATGTATAGTACTTACTAATGGAGATATATCAGGAAACATTTCCAGCATGTTCCTAAATCTTCTCTCCTTAACTGCTGTAGTGAGTTCTACGACAGGCTTCTTGGCTGGAGATGCAGGGTCATCAGAATCAGAGTCCTGTATTCTGATGCGTTTGTAAACTATTGGTCCATTTCTGTTTGCTGTATTTGGTGCTGGCATGCGGATTTGTTCTGTAAAGAAGAGGAAATCTTATTATATACTTAAAATATGTAGTATAAAATTGTGCATATCGAATGTGCAAAAAAAAAATGAATTATGCTTAAGTATTCTTCTCTCCAAACTCAAAATATACAATATTTTGAGTTTGTAGAGAATAGTTCAACTCAAAATATAGTAGTAGTTGTTGTGCCCAGCTGGCACTCTTAGAAGCCATGAAATAAAAGAATTGAATTGAAGTTTCAGTACATTATTAAAGCTAGTTATAAAGTATTATAATTAACAAATATATTTTATATATATTTTGTAAGTAATCATATTAATAATGTATTTATGAAATATTGATTTTATGTTAAAGGAAAACAGCTTTCATATATGTAAAACAATATGGAAATTTATATTTTATTTTTATAGTATACTATACTTATTCAATTTTTTAATAGTAATACAGAGCATAATATTTATTAAATGAATATTTTATATGACTCAAAGAAAACATTGCTTTCGTCTTGCTATATTTTACCAAGAGAAATTCATATACATATATTTAAAACATAAAAAAATTATCACAAAAACTATAAACATGTTCATAATACACTATATCTAACAAAAATTTTAGTGGACAGGACACAACCTCAATCATCTTATTGATTAATTTATATGTAGCATCTGTTAAGCATAACACAAACTACTCATAAGTATTTGCTCCATTTATTAAAGTAATAATCTACTTCTTTTTAAACTTATAATGAGTTTTGGAAGGCCCAGAAGATTTTTCATTTTCTATCTTCAACTATATCAATATTGCAATATGTGCAATTAAACTTGTTATGCAATTTTAGGTAATCTATCTAATCAGCCATTATAATTATAAAAATCAATAAAATAAAATATAGCTAAATGTTTTATTTTATTTAAAAATTATATACTTACGTACGTTTTTTTTGATAATCATTAAACATCAAGATACATTAGTTCGTATACGAAATGTTAAAAATTGAGTATCATATAGTTTTAAATGAGTAATTTATATATCGTGCTACCAAGAACATGGATAATTTCTGGTTAAAGCCCGGCGATACAAAAAACGAGAACCTTGAAACGTGACGAGTAGGTCCGTGGCAAACGTGGTCGGAGCTTTTCTTTACTAATATGTCAAGTGCACGTGCTTTAACATGTTCATTAATGGAATAAACATCATTTGTTACTTACGATTAGACATTGGTGCTGATGTTACAGTCATAGATCCGCTGGAACCAGGAGTAGGTTTCCGCTGAAACCTATATTGTCTTAGATAACTTAAAACACTAGGGCTAGTACTTTCAGACATCGTATTAGACGATTCTGTAGCAAACTGCACCGAACTATAATAACGAATTATCGATAATGGTTGGAAATTTTGGAAAGTTAGGAAACTGAAACCCTCACACCACACAGTTGAAGCCTGAAAACAACACTGCGGCCATTTTTATCCGCGAGACTAAAAAAATGTGTTAACCAATGATAGTGTTTAAAATTTGACAGCTGATTATATTTACCAATTAAAATTTTGCTATAATTTTTTTTTAAATATAAAACAATAGACAATAATTTTATTTTGTTATGAATTATTGATAAAATATATATAAACAATTTTATTATAAAATCATATTCCGAAATTGTCTTATAAAACTTTTATTAACAAAATATATCCAGTACACTCAGTAAAGTGTTATTTATTAATAATCAAAAGGATAATTAAAAAAAATACACTAAAATATACATAATATTAATAATTAATTTATTTTAGTCACAGCGTAAATCAAAGGAATTTTTGCTATACTTTTATTACTTACATATTATTTATCTTCATTTATTAATACGTTTATATTTTGTTTTTATAAGAACCTATGTTTTGTAGTTATTATAAATAACAATATTTCTACTATATTTGAAAAAAAGAATGTCCACAGACAAACAATTAAAAACTAACATTATGCACATTTATTATTTAAAGTAACTTATATGTATATATTATAATTATAATTCATACTGAGAACAAGAGAAGATGTTTCATAATATTACAGTAGGTATTCTTCAAAGATATGGAGGGTAGCCTCCATAGTCAAAAAGAATATAACCACTACGTTTCTGCTCTTCAACATAAAACATAAGATTATATAATTTACTAGTAGCATATTCACTTATAACTAATACACTAGACAAGCACAAACAGATCTATCCCACGGGAACCGTTCATTTTCCGGGATAAAAAGTAACCTGTTGTTTGGTATCAGCATGCCAAATTTTACTAAATTAGGTGCATAAGTTGTTGTGTACTAATCTGTAGTCTGTACAAGTTACTATAATATGGTCTTTAAGTATACCACGGGAACTTTTTTATTTTCCGGGATGAAAAGTATCTAAAATGTTGACCCGGGAATTAAGGTAACCACCACGCAAAATTTCATTTCAATCGGTTCAACTGTTTCGGAGATTAGCCCGTATAAACAGACAAACAGACAGAGAAACATAAAAATTGAAAAAAATCTGGATTAGTTCTGTTTGTCTTCTTATATCCCCCTTACTCGGGATTAAGCATTTTTTTTATGTACAGACATTCGAACTCTAGTTTTATTATATGTATAGATAATAATAATTTTATAGTTGATTCAAATATTTGTAAAATTAATAATGTAATAATTTCGAATTTTTTTTAGTGTAGTTTAATTATTTATTAGACTAATTAATATTATTACGTTGTAATTCTTTGGTTTATCAAGTTTTTTTGTATTAATTTGAAGAACAAAAAATGGGCTAATATCAAGCTCATAGCTGTCAAAGTCAGTTATGCCACACAGTTTCTGGTTGTCACATTAATAGGCGCGGCCATGTTGGTCTGTAGTGAATAAAATCGTGATAATTTGCTTTTAGGGAAATAAAATTGACACAATATGCCCAAATGCGACCTCAAAACGAGATACATCCCCGCGACATTCGCCTGGACTTTACTTTTGGGCACGACGTCTCTGTTTTTTTATTTTCCGTAAGTATACATTAAGTCGATCGGATACGAATTCGCTTTGATTTGACAACTTTCACATAAGATTGTAGAATTACTTCTATTTTTATCTCGGGACTACCTTTGCCCTATACGACTTTTTGTGTGCATCATTCTCTCGTATTAAAACCATGACAATAATGTGCATAGATGACACTGCCTTTGATCATGCCAGAGTTGTCATTATTTACACCACAAAGCATTTTATATTCCTATCGGGATGTGTCTTGCTATTCATGTTCTATCCCAATCCTTAAATGTTCAACCCGTAGCCAAGTTTGTGTAAACAAAAGCTTGAATCAATAAGTATGAATCACAAATATTAATATTTTCAGAGAGTACTATCATAATTGTGTGATTTTTATTGACAACAATATCATATTTTGGTAAACATGTGTAAACAGTATTTAATCAATTAAATTCGAAATGATAATTAAAAATAAATCTATAGTTTTTTGAGACTGCACTAGCATTTAAATGTCATAAAAATTTAATATAGCAAGGCTTTTATTGATAGATAGATAGGATTTGTAAATACTCATGTACTTATTTTATAATAAGCAACATTGCTTAATTTTTTTATAAATTACTTCAAGAAAATTGCTTAAAACAAATTATTATATTATTCTAATTTGTACATAAAAACATTGTAACTAAAGTACTTATACTATACCATTTCTTTTGATTATGATTTTAATTATTAAAAAACAACAATTAAATATAAAATTATTATTACTATAACTTATAAACATCCTTTTTGAAATATCTAGCACTAGGCTAATAATAAACTGATTAATAAATACATAGATATATCATCTACATTTATCATATATCATGATAAAATTAATTATAACATCAAATATATATGTAAGTAAACATATAAATTGGATAACTTACTCAGTAATTTATTTTAAGTTATATATTTTATATAATATTTGCATTTTTAGTGTGATTCTGTTTATTTCTATACCAAATATATATTTCTTTGAATCATTAATGAAATTACATTGTACAAAAATATTTTACTTATTATAATATAACTTTAATTTAAGTTATTGAGTTTAATTTTCCTTGCAGCTGTCAGTATTACCTTCACAAACACCCATGGGTTCCTGCATACCAAGGTGTTATAACATTTTTTGTTTTGGCCAATTTTACACTGGCCACTTTCATGGACCCGGGAGTTATACCAAAAGGTATGTTTTAGTTTTTTTTGTCAATTCTTATAAGATGGAATAAACTTGTGTTAACTTGAGTAATTATTATTATTTAAAATACATTCAACGATCATTTGTGAATGAATCATGTTATTAAGTATATAAATTAGAAATTTCAATTTACCATATCATTAAAACCAACTTTATAATGCATTAGTTGAAAAGAAAGTAGTGACCTTATTATCATATGTATTTTCTTCAAAATTACTTAAGTAGAATATTATTTATTTCTTGAATGAAGATTTTATTTATGTTTATGATTTGTGGACTATTTGGTCACATTACTTAATAATTTTAATTTATAATGTATTTTATATCTTACTGGTTTTTACCTGCAGCATTACTGCGCTAATACTAAGGTGCCTTGATGATAATCTTTTTCTTGTTTTTTTGACCAGGATATATTATCCTGAATTTGACATTTATCCTTTAAGCTGTTACAGAATGTAACAAACACACTAACACTATAATTAAAATATTAGCATGATTTTTAAATAAATCAGTGTCCTCTGTAATTGATTTATTTGATCTTGTCTTTCATCTTTACGGCTTATCCACTGAATTGATCTTGATTAAATGTTATGCAAGTAGAACTTGCATTCCTGGAGGATGAGATAAAAATCTTATATCCTATGATATTATGTTTCACATAGGTTAAACAAGTTAACATTTGAATAATGCAATAGGATATTGTGTTATACTTAAAACAAATATACAATTCAGATAGTTTTTTAAATTAAAACTTTATAGGAACAAAAATTACATTAACATACTTATATAATATACTGTTTCAGTTAAAAATACTCATATACTACATATTAAATAAACATATTGTTTTACCTACTTCACGGTTTATTAAAAATGTGCACAAACATATTATACCTGTTGTAATTGTTAAGATAAATTCTTGCAAATATTTTTGCAAATATATATTTTTAGGTTTAAAAAACACAAGTCCCTTTAGATAAACTACAATGTATGGAAATTGTCAAAACAAATCAAATGAGACCCAAGATAAATGTTTTATTAGTAGCTATTGAAGAGTTTGATAGTGGATATTAGTATCAAATAGGTATGATATGGTTCCCAGTGGTTATAATTTCCGTGGCGCTGTAATTTGACGATGAATTCTTTTAGATCTTGAAAAAATTAAACGAAACATATTAATGAAGTTTTTCGATATCTCGCTATGTTTTTTTGACAGAATTCAATAGATTTTTGGAAAAAAATACGAAAGGTAAGAATAAAATTTTGTGATATCTCGATTTGCTTCCGAGATATCGATATCGGGAGATAAATAAAAAAATCACATGCTATTTGTTAATTTTAATTTTTGTTAACTTAAGTTGAGAATTTTTAAGTACTATCGATATCTAACATAGCGAGATATTGAAAAATTTCATTCATTATAAATTTTAGTTTTATTTTTTCAATTTCTATAAGAATTCATCAACAAATTACGACGTCACGAAATCTAAATGTTGCCAATTGCGATTTGGATTTTACTTAATTACAAAGCGGCAAATCGATACGATAGTTAGAAGGTTAAAACTAACTTCCAATATCTGATTATATGGTTAGTTAGTGAAGCTATTAAGAGCAAGTTAATAAAAATGGCCTATGTCATATTATAATATTTCCTACACTCTTCTATTAGTTAAAGTTTTTTAAGAATAAGATAATTAGTTCCAGATAGTATATCTATATGCAAAAGCAAAAAATTCTATTAGTTAAAGTTTTTTAAGAATAAGATAATTAGTTCCAGATAGTATATCTATATACAAAAGCAAAAAAATAATAATAATAATATAGACTTCAGTCTCTCCCCTGACCATGTATGCTGTAAAGCATTCGAAACATCGGAAAGAAACATAAATATTTACGAAGAAAATAAAAAAAAACTGCGTCAAAATCCGAAAAGATATTTTTATTTATAATATAGAGATTTTTTAAATTAAAAGAATAACCAACCAGTTTCATCACAATCGGGCCAATGGTTTAGGAACGTATAGAGGACAAACATACGAACATTAATTTTTTTTCTATAGAAGATAGAGTTATTTCACACTCAGACCACCTTCAAAATATACATAAATTGTGTCATAATATTAGGGAAATTGTTTATTTAATGGTATGTAATGACTTCGGTAACTTTGTATTGTGTTATTATCTCGTAATTACACATACGAGATTGAGCCGTAGCAAAAACATGGTTCTGTCAATAATGATAGTGCCAATTCATGATTAGTGAATGAGTTGTAGATTGGGTCTAGTGTGGAAATGTTTACTATATAAGATAATTTTTATTATTTTTTACTACGAAGCCGTTTCTGTAAACAATGATTTCTCACGGGGAGGACGGAGGTTGCGTCATATTAACACTGCGTGACCCACATTTTTTATGATTTTCTCTATATATTTATTTACGTTCTAACGTTTAGTATAGATTAAAAATAAAAAATATTTAATCTCTCCACGACCGCGGACACGCCGGCGTGTCAGTTAACAACAGATTTCTTAGAAATTTAATTAATTTTTTAGAAATTTATCTGGAGGTTTTAATGTACAGATTCGGCTTACAATTAGTTACAATTTTATTATATGTATGGATTAGGCAAGCTAACGCGACATATGTATACGTACAATGTGATACAGTAAAGTATACAATATTGAAAAAAGTATTACACAGCATATTCCACTTACAGGCTAGCTCGACATGATTAAAAATGGCATTTTTCTCCATTACACCCACTCGTAGATAAAAATAATTAAAAGTTAAATACATTAGTACAAAAGAGACTAACTTAGGTATTAATAAAAGTTTTTCTTTGGGAATACCCTTACTCCCTACCGTATTATAAATGCGAATGTATATTATAATTGCTTTCTTAGGTTGTCCTTCTTTTACGCAAACAACGGTTTGACGTGACGTTGATTACTTTAACTGATGTGTTAAATTCCCGTGGGATTTGTCTGTTATAAAGAGCTACGTAACGACACTAGTATTTTGACGACACGTTTGGCTCAGTTTGTAGTTACCCTACTTGCTGTGGCCAGCGGTCTCGGCTTCGAGTCTCGCTGGCGACATTCATTTGTGTGGTGAGCACGGATGTTTGTACTCCTGTCATGGGTGTTTATATTTATAATTTGTATGTATTTAAAGTTATAGGTATATGTGTAGTGTATCAAATATCTGGTATCCATAACAAAGGCCTCGTAGCTTACCATGAAACTAGATGGTGCTGTGCGTTAATGTCCCAACATATTTGTTTATTTATTATAATTTAGTATTATATTTATAAAGCTTCTGAAGGCAATTTCGTTTTCGTATGCATTTATATTTATATTTTTTTCGCAAATAACAAAAAAAGTGCTCAAGTTTTCACAGATCTATTTGACCTATTGATATGAAGCATTGCTCTTATTCAGACTTATACTTACCTTCAATAAAAAAGTCCTATTAAAATCGCCCATCCCTTTTGGACCGAATTGCGATGGACAAATACTTTTTAAATCATTTCTTCAACAAAACACATCTAAAGTCTTTCATAGCGTCTCATATTAAATCCCTTAAAAATATTAAAAAAATAATGTACAATATCGACCCTATCATAATTTTATTATGTGTATTGTGTATAGATTAACATGTGTAATAAAAATTTACCCAATAAAGTTCCGATAGAGTACTTGTCGGTCTTGGCCATTAATTGACCGAGCGAGCGAGGAGAGCGAAGCGTCTCTGTTTCGAGTTTGGCAAAGTATGCTTTCCTTTGTCAGTTTGTTTGTATTCCTCTACAGGTAGTATTTAACAACCGATCTGGACGAAACTTGGTATATAGGTTTTATGACTTTATAGATTTTTTTTGCTATCGGAGATTTTTGATTGGAAGGGTACTTCTTCCAAAAAGAGGCAAAAAGGAGGCTACTGGATATCTCGGCCTTAAGAGGTCCGATTTCGATATGTCATTCTTTTTAATTCGAAAGGTAGTAACTTTAAGTTGGTCTCATAAAAAATTGGTGAAGATCTGATGAGGATCCTCTTCGTGATGAGCAGAATAGCTCCTCAAAATGCAGTTTGCGCTCTTGAGGTCTAGTGTTCGCAGAACTACTAGTTTAAATACAAGTATGTAGGTACAAGTTTGTTACATAATGAGTCATAAAGATTTAGATAAGCGTTTTGAAGAGTTTAAAGTTTGATAGTCACACATGCAATTATTATGCCAGTAATTAATGTTAAGAATAATGTTTTTATCTTCATTAATTTGCTTACTAATTATATTCATGCTTGTAGTAGAGGTACAGTGTTTTATAAGGAAATGACTTCGGATTCCACTCTTTAAAATGGTTTTTATGTTTTTCTACCTGCTTTGTTGGTTCAATGGTTAGCAGGCTGTAGATAACGAGACTCTAGGTTCGAGCCACAGGTCTGGATAAGTATCGGTTTTTTTCAGGAAGTTGGCGGTGTTATTTCCCCGAGCCTTAGAGAGCACGTATAGCCGCCGCTCTTCCGCCTAACCTCTTATCAGTTGTGTAAAATTGTCGTCCTACCAGACTTACAGCGTGAAAAGAATAAAGAGTCTCTCTCCTACTTCGTTGATTAGTATCAGTTTGATTGGCCGCCGTGGCCGAAAACAGTCAGAAGGATATTATTATGTTGTTCGTTGTATAGACACGGTTTGGACTTATGTATTCCCCGTGCAAATTTTTATCCACATTTTCACCCCTTTAAGGGATGATTTCCGGAATAAAAACTAACCTATGCCATTTCCAGGGTCTCTAAGTATCGTTTTACCAATTTTCATCTAAATCGGTTCAGCAGTTACGGAGCCTATTCGGTACAAAGAAACAAATCTTTCCTCTTTATATTATTAGTATAGATATTAAGATGGTACATTATTTTTAGTAAAATAAACCTTGTCGCAATTTTCTATCAATTGGTCAAGTCCAAGGGGATCGTGTATTTACCCGTATAACAACGA